ATTACTCTGATAGTTAGGTCTTCGAAAGTTGCTTATTTTTTTGTTAAAATCATGCATATTTATGTGACATGTGGTCAATGGTNAGGATTAGGGTTTGATAAATAGGCGATGGAGAACACCGGCGAGGAGAAATCGCCTATTTACATTAGATTCAATAAATGAGTTTTCTTTTTACATTATATTAAATAAATCCATAATATTTATAATTTCCTTTTTAAATTTCCATTAAATAANTTTCCTTTAAATNTTTTCGAAAATAATTTNGCAAAACAGATTTCCTAATTTTGATTAAACAAATTTATTAAAATACCACTTAAATATGTATTAACCAAAAAATAAGGGTAATTTTGGGTTTAAAATTATCCAAAACCTATTGGGACAAAGTCATATGTTTAAAGGTATAGTGGGACAAAAACTATTTCAATGTGTCCTAATTTTCCAAATTTTCCTTAGATTTTTGTAACTCAAATCACTTATAAATTGAAAATAGGTCGCGAATGGGATTTTTTGTTCCATGTTTTTCTAACTACAGCCTCCATTACATTTACTTCTTTTTTTAAGCATATGCACACGGGCATAATACTAGTTAGTAAAATACACAACAGAGTATTAAGTTCATTTTAGCACTACTAATTTTTGCATAATCGATTTGATGAATGTTACTAATTTTAGAAATGCTTTTTAACATAGATCTAGAAATGTCGTTAACTATGTTACAATAAGTTTCAAAAAAAAAAAAAAACTATGTTAAAATACACACAGGCAATTTAGACTGAACTAAATGTTTTATGTATATTTTATTTAAAAAAAAAAATAGTGTATTTTTTACTTTTTTTTTTGTCACATAAAATAGTGTATTTCTAAAATTAGTTAAATTGTTAGATGATTGAAAACAAAATTTGAACTTTTTTAGTTTGGATTGTGAGAAAGTTAAGGAGAAAATTTATCTAACACAGCTTGTAAATCTCATGTAGTTTTTGGCGATATACTCATTGTGTTTAGGGCAAACGATAATTAAGAAAGAGAGAGATTTTTAGAGAAGATTTCTTCTTTTCCTTTTATTCATTGTCTGTGAATTACCCATAAGAAAAGAGAGAAGAGAAATGAGAGTTGTCCCCTGTTTCGATCTCACTTACAGTACTAAAAGGCAAAAACATATCTGATCGATTTTTTTTTTTTTTTCTGAAATATCTGATCCATTTCGTTTTCAATAAATCAGGTAATGGTCACCATTCTCATATAATCATCGTTGTATATTTTTCTTGAGAGTTCTCATGTTCTTTTTTTTTTTGGATCATAATGTCACATTTAACTTGAAGCTTATTACAACAAGTTACTGTTATGTCTCCATTTTATGAACCTTCTGCTGATTTATAATGTCCTTTTGTATGCCTACTTGAGACTTATGTTCATTTTCATTGTCACATTTCAGGTTAAGCCCCAAGTTATAGTTGAATCTTGAGTTTATAATGTCTGCTTTTGATGGTAACGTTTCTGTAACGGGAGAATGGTTAGACCATAGTCCAAACCACAAGAAGAGATCGAAAGCGGAACTTGATAGAGAGGTTTCTTTAGAAGCCAGAGATTCTCTGCAAACCAGCTTTCAAGAGATGCCGAGTTATTCACGAGGTGATCTTAGTGGAAGGATTGCTGCGAGAGCCGGTCATAATGTACCGAGGTTAAAGACTGAGAATATTCTTCGGCATCCATGTTTAACCATCTCTTCTCCTGTTCTTGGCCCTGCAACTCTGTTAGACTCTCCGGTTTTCCTCTCAAACCCTTTGGTAACTTTTTCTTTTCAACATTTCATTACTGTATTCTCTTTCGCGGTTCTGTGTCTGAAATCTCTAATCACCTGTAAGCCCAGCCATCTCCGACCACCGGAAAGCTCTCATCACTACCTTCTGATAAAGCTAAAGATGAGTTCTTTGACGACATTGCCACGTCCTTAGCCGTCCAGTCTATTTCAAGAAGCCTTGATCCTACAATCATCATCAGTTTAGAACCCGATGATTCCCAAGACTCTGAGCAAAAACAGCTCAGCGGTTTAGGAGACTCTGTGGCTAGTGGTGCACCTGCAGATGATGGATACAACTGGAGGAAATACGGACAGAAGCTAGTTAAAGGAAGCGAGTATCCGCGTAGCTATTACAAGTGCACACACCCGAATTGTGAGGTCAGGAAGAAAGTTGAACGGTCCCGGGAAGGCCATATTACAGAGATCATATACACAAAAGCTCATAATCACCCCAAGCCACCACCTAACCGCCGCTCAGGCATTGGATCATCATCCGGTACAGGCCTTGACATGCAAGTAGATGGAACCGAACAAACCGAGCAAGAAGGTTTTATCAGAACCAATGACAACACAGAATGGACATCACCTGTATCTGCAGAGCTCGAATACGGATGCCATTATGGATCACTGCAGGTTCAAAGCAGGACACAGTTCGGGTATGATTCTTTCTTTAGGGATGAAGATGAAGCAGATCGCACGACCCACAATAGTGTTTCCCTGGGTTACGACAGAGAAGTAGATGAATCCGAGTCAAAGAGAAGGTTAGAAAAGTTGCTCTTATATCCACTAAAATACTCAGAACGAAAAAAACGTTCTGCCTTCTGATGCAATTCACTTATTAGGAAACTCGAAGCCTATTCAACGGAAATGACTGGATCAACCCGAGCTGCCCGTGAGCCAAGAGTGGTGCTGCAGACCACGAGTGACATTGACATCCTTGAAGATGGTTATCGCTGGCGCAAGTATGGGCAAAAAGTCGTCAAAGGAAACCCAAATCCAAGGTTCTTGTACTTCAAATGCTCTGTTCTGTTCTGTCCCTCTGTTGTTCCAGCTTTTGTCCACCAGTTACATCATTTGTTTTCTATGTACTGTTTCAGGAGTTACTATAAATGCACAGCCAATGGATGTACAGTGACAAAGCATGTGGAGAGAGCTTCTGATGACCTCACGTCCGTACTAACCACTTACATAGGCAAGCACACCCACAATGTACCAGCAGCACGCAACAACAGCCACGTCGGTTCAGGCGGCTCAGGGACTATCCAATGTGGTTTAGCATCTCAGGTACATAACCACCATGTGCACTATCCAGTTCCACACAGTAGACCTGAGGGACTGGTCACAGCCAACTCATCTCTCTATGACTTCCAGCCACACCTGAGGCCTCCTTCGGGTTTCTCAGTTTACATTGGCCAAAATGAGCTTTCTGATCTTTCAATGCCTGGTTTAGCTATCGGGCAAGAGAAGCTTCCCGGCCTGCCAGCACCTGCGATTGGTGATCCAGCTGGGCTGATGTTGCAGTTAGGAGCAGAGCCAAAGGCGGAACCAGTGTCACAAGAGGGTTTTGGATTGTCGAGTAGCTCACTGGTATACAGAGAGATAATGAGTAGATTACCACAGATATGAAACAAATCTCTTTGTTCACTGATTGTTCTTATTTTGAATAAATGGTTCTGAACAGTGAGAGCTTGCGGAAGGTAAAAGCTAGTTTGTTTTCATAGTATTGCCAAAAGATTTAGGAGGTCAAAAGATAGATGATCTAAACTTAGCTTTTTTCTAAACAAAGCTTTAGCAAAGAGAAGAAAAATAATTCCTTAGCTGTTTGGTTCCAAAAAGTCAAATGCCTTTTGAGTTCTAAATTTCTCTTAGGAATTGCAAAAGCGGGTTACGCTGAAACTAATCTTTACATTAATGTAGGCCTACCGCCTCTTCGACTGTGTCTTTCGTATGCAGTGTTGAATTTGTCCACCACCTCGTTCATGTTGCTGCAATTTGGAACAAAAGTGAGAGATCAAATAGAGAAAGGATTCTTCTAAGCCATTTCTTTGGATAGATGAAAAAATGGATATATTCCCTAAGCTCCTACAAGATTACTACCTTAATTATAACAAGGATGGCTAAGCAAGGTCCTAGATTTAGTTCCTAAACTAAATGAATAAAACTATCTCATTGTCAGCCTAAAGCAAGTACCAGTGATTCCATCTGTCCTAGTATCGTACAACATTGCACTGCATCAACCAAATGACAAATATTTCCATGCCTGTCCATCATTGTTCTTCAATTAGTTAAATGGAATATCCGTGTAGAGCACATACCTGGCACAATTCGTGAGCATTGCTAGGTAAGACATCAGCAATTTGTCATTGTACTCCTGCAAAGAAACATCATAGAATATAAAGAGATCATTCAGAACAACATGCTATATTAAAAGTTTAAGAGAAACGGATTGCTAGATAAGGTAAAGCATTACTTACCATCAAGAAATCATCTTGAAACTTTTCTGATTGTGCGGCAGGCAAACTTCTGAGCAGACTAGATACTTGTCTCAGAAGTGAGTTCTCGCAAGGAATATCACCTAGATGCAGAATCACACAAGTCATTAGTACCACAGTGACCCATGGAACCTACAATACATAACTACATTACTTTTGGTCAATATCCTTTTTCTTTCTTTCTTCACCGGAGGAAAACACATATACAAATATTCCAGCTAAGAACAAGGACTGGTCACTAAAGCTCGATAACCAAATTGAAGAGGGACTGAGAGTGGGGACTTAAGCAAGAATACAGTATACCTTTCTGCATTGCAACAAGATATTGATAGAGCACTCTGATTCTGCTATTTAGCATCTTAATGGCACTATGAATGCCAGTCAAATGAGCAGCCACTGCACAATATAGAGGAATCAACCTATATTCCATACAAATGAGTAAGAGGAATATGATAAATAAGAAGGGTATAATAAGGATTACGCTGGGTCGCTGCTGAGCCTCCATCAGATGGCTTAAGGTGTGCAACATGATCAACCGATATTCTTTCAGCTTCCACAGTCTGCATGTGTTACATCTTTGCTATGTTACTAAAGGGCCACTCTCATATAATAGACAAGTTACATATTAAAAAAACTGTGTAAGCGCATACCTCAATTGTGTAGCTTGTATGCACAAAAATTGGCTGAGGAATTCCATCGATGACATGGAATTCTTGAAGTTTCGAAGACAATCAAACGATATGATAAAAAACGATTAGAATCTCTAAAACAATCAGACCCAACAGAACTATATTGGAAGACGAATAAAGTGAAAATCACACTACTTGCAGAAATCATTTATGTGAATCCACAAAATCATTAGCAGAGAAACAATCTGTAACCATAATTTGCAGATAGTCAAGCATGTAAAACCAACTTACCACTTTCATAAATAGTCACTGGAAGATCCTTCTGTGCGTGATTGATAGCCGGATTTAGAAGGACATAAACAGGACATTCATTAATGTCCATCAACTGTACAAGACACGATGAAAAAACTCACAGAATTAGTACAATGAGACCCAAAATTCACACAAACCATTACAAATTACCAATGAACCTGCACTCACAGCTTTGTGGATATGCATATCAGCTTCATTAGCGTCGCTTCCCGTAGAATACCATCCCAATATGTAGAAATCAGGGAACACCTTCTTGTCTGAAGAAAAAAAACACCAAAGTTACAGATAGCAGCAAACAATCGAGAACAAAGTAAGACGAAAAGGAGACGAGTTTAAAGCTTACAGAGCTCTTGCTTCTTCTCGAGGAAGGATCTATCGAGTGTGTCAGTGGTAGGATCAAACAAAAGCTCGAAACTGTTAAAGATCTCAACCGTACGGCCTTTTTGGACACCGATCACGCAGCCGTAAACCCTAGGATTCTGGAGGAACATCGCGTCGCCGGTGCTCGAGCCATTCCCGGTGGCGCAGACAGAGGCTGGAGGATTAAACTGAGTCTTAACCCTAGTGAAGTGATCGGAGATGTTAACGATGACGAGAGGATGAAGCTTGAAGGTGAGGCCGCTCGAGGAAGAAGGAGCCATTGATTTTTTCCCGGCGCTTGTCATTGTTCCGTTTTCGTTACTAATTCCTAAGTCGAGGAGTCTTTAAATGCCTCTGATTCGGGTCAAGATTTGGTCTTTGGGCTTTCTTTCTAGCCCATCGGATTTTATTTTTTTTAACATATTTAATTGACTACACATTTAAATTTTTTTTCTTCTATTCTTAGATTATTATATTTACTGTAGTTTTAAATCATTTTGAAGTTTTATAAATATGGTTAAATTATTTCCTATTTCTACAGCTTTACAATGCAGGAATAATATCAAGATCATTAGTTTAGTTTTGTTATGATTGGATATTTTAAAAATATCTCGTTATTACTTTTTCTGAAAAATAATAAATTGGTATTGATAAATGTTTTTTTAATTGAAATTCCGTATATAGCCATTTATTTATGTGTAAGTTTGTACTAGTCCATACTAGGGTTTTGGCGGGACGTTGCCAGAACTTTTTCAATTTCAATCAATGTGTATTTTTTCGGTTTTCGCATTTGAGTTCTAGTCGATAGAAACTGAGAATTTAATACACCATCTGCCATATATTCCAAACAATGATTCCGAAGTTTGAGGGGTTTAGAGAATTTGCAGTAGATCAAAATTAAGACATAGGTTTCTAAGTAAGTATGATGTTGTCCATTGTAATGCTTCGTCCATAGCATTAGGGCCGTAGCATTAGGGTCGTGCCTTCCATGTATTTAAAAAAGTTTTTTTCTAGGTTTTCGGATAATCTTCTTATTATATAAAAACGGGTGCGCACGATGAGAACGCGACACGTAAACAAAATTTTAACACATCAGATCGTGACATGTGTCTACGGTTGAACAAATTATGACATGTGTTAACACTTAAAACT